AGCCCCCCCCCGAAATAAAATCCTGGCTATGGGCCTGACTCCCAGAAATCCCAGCCAGCTTAACAGGTGTTAGGAATTGTGGGAGTTGAAGTCCAAAACACCTGAAGGGCCCGAGGTTTGCCCATGCCTGGTATAAACCCATAGATGCAGACCTCACAACCCCTGAGGATGTCTGCCATAGATGCAGGTGAAACGTCAGGAGAGAATGCTTCTAGAACATGGTCATATAGCCCGAAAAACCTACAGCAAACCGACCTCACAACCTCTGAGGATGCCTGCCATAGATGCAGGCGAAATGTCAGGAGAGAATGCTTCTAGAACATGGCCATATAGCCCAAAAAACCTACAACAACTCAGTGATTCCAGCCATGGAAGCCTTCGACAATACAAATGAATGTTGTTGACAAACTAGATGTGTGAATCTGCTCTGAGTAACTATCACCTGACCTTCTGAAAACTATCCAACTTAAACTAGATAACCAATTTGTCATAGAAAATATGATGTTGCAAAGTTTACAGAAATTAGGAAGGACGGGGCTTATCTTTGCCCAGACAGGGCTTAAATTATACTGAGTCATTCTGCTTTCTAGAAAGAAACATCACCTCAAACATAACCCCCATGTTGCTGCAGAAGATAAAAGCTGATAAAGGCTTTGGAGAAAATCCCTACTTGTCCTATCAATCTTTCTTAAGCTTCACATATATCATACATCAGAATTCTTGCTTTTTACTCTGAGAAGGTAGTGTTCCATGACAGCCATTCTGACCTTGGGATTCGGTATGAGTTTTGATTTTCAGCATGACTCACTCAGAGATGATGACCCTAAAACAGTGGTTCTCAACCTTTCTCATGCCACAACTCCTTAATACAGTTCCTCATGTTGGGGTGACCCCCAAGCATAAAATTATTTTTGTTGCTACTTCATAACTGTGGTTTTGCTACTGTTATGAACTATCATGTAAATATCTGATATGCAGGATGTATTTTCATTCACTGAGCCAAATTTGGTGCAAATATCTGATATACCGAAATATGAATACTGGTGGGGTTGGGGGGGATTGATTCTTGTCATTTGGGAGTTGTAGTTGTTGGGATTTATAGTTCACCTACAATCAAAGAGCATTCTGAACTCCACCAATGATGGAATTGAACCAAATTTGGCACACAGAATTCCCATGACCAACAGAAAATACTGGAACAGTTTGGTGGGCATTGACCTTGAGTTTTGGAATTGTAGTTCACCTACATCCAGGGAGCACTGTGAACTCAAGCAGTGATTCATCTGGACCAAATTGAACCAAACTTGGCAAACTTCTGACCAACAGAAAATACTGGAAAGGTTTGGTGGGCATTGATCTTGAGTTTTGGAGTTGTAGTTCACAGAGAGCACTGTGGACTCAAACAATGATGGATATGGACCAAACTTGGCACAATACCCTCAATATATCTTAATGTGAACACTGGTGGAGTTTGGGGAAAATAGACCTTGACATTTGGAATATGTAGTTGCTGGGATTTATAGGTCACCTACCAGAGATGGCCCTAGGTAATTTTAAACGGTAAGGAAACAATATTTTGCCCCCCCCCCCAACCAATCACTGATATATATTGTCTGTTTGTCGTGGGAGTTCTGTGTGCCATATTTGGTTCAATTCCATCATTGGTGGAATTCAGAATGCTCTTTGATTGTAGGTGAACTATACATCCCAGTAACTACACCTCGTATAGGTCATGGTCTATTTTCCCCCAAGAGTGCCTCAAGAGGGCCCTGGGCAAAATCAACTATACTGCAAATGCTTACTTTGCGTAATGGGTTGAGCCGCCCCTTTCACCTACAATCAAAGTGCTTTCTGAACCACACCAGTGATAGAATTGGGCCAAACTTCCCACACAGAACCCCCATTACCAACAGAAAATACAGGGTTTTCTGATGGTCTTTGGTGACCCCTCTGACACCCCCTTGTGATGCCCCCAGGGGTCCCAACTTCCAGGTTGAGAAACACTGCCCTAAGGCAATCCTATCATGGGTCTTTGTGGGGCTGAGAGTGTGTGACCTGCCCAAGGTGAGTTTCCATGACCAAGAGGGGAATCACAAGCTCAGATTCCAAAGTATTTTGGGGGGAAACATGTAAATGAAAAGATATTAACAGGGAGAGATATCAAAGACATCCAAGAAAATAATTTCAATAGCACTGTTTAAAGATGAGTGAAAATTGCAACCATTCAATTCAATATTCTGTTCCTGTTCATGTTGAACAGAAGGGAAAATCTATTTGCTACTCCCAAGAATTTCAGTTTTAAACAACTTTATTGAAAACATAAAGCTGCACGATAACTTCAGACAAAAATAGTTCAACTCTTTTAAGGCTCACAAATCGATAAAGGCCATTATATGCTGCAAGAATGCAGAGAACGCTGAATACTTTTCTTCAAGGCAAACGAGGCCATTCTAAGTGCAATCAAACCCGGTTATTTTTGGACTTTGGGGATGTGTGCAGGAAGATTTCTGAAAAACAAACCGTAACGTCCAAAGTCCAAAAAACTGGAGGGAGACCCTAAAAATGTAGCAGAAGCATTTCCGCACACTGGTTTCAATCATCTAGTTTGTGCGGAAGTGATTCCACTAGATTCATAGAGTGTCATGTGAAGAGGCAGGCACCCATCACTTCATCATTTTTTTGACTTTCTCCAGCTCTTCTATGGGCTTCCATTCCTGGTTGATTGTTATCAGCTACCAGACATTTTGAGACAAAAAAGACATAGAAACATATATTAAAAACCAGACAGTAATTTATTGGCAATTTCCTGTTAAATATGCGCTACCTAGTAAATTTATGATGATCATCATACTGGAATATCTATCAAAGATCTATGTTGTGTAAACGCTCCTAATGAAATTAAGGCAGACTTTCTAAATATGCTTAGTACTGCTGGATTATGTCCCATCTCTTGACAACAAAAGAGACATTTCTGGATGTAAATATTTCTGAATGAGAACAAAATATATTACCGTTATTGTTTAATTACTAAATTATTAAAAATATTTTGCCATATTCAAACAGTTTAAACTTATGAAAAGCTTTTAGCTCACTTTAATATAAATTGCCTGCATTTCTGCAGTTCTTTCAGAAATGTACTAGGATTAAAAGTAAAGGTACAGCTTTCCCTTGACATTAAGCCTACTCGTGTCCAACTCTAGGGGTGGTGCTCATCTCCATTTCTAAGACGAACAACAACAACAACAACAACAACAACAACAACAACAACAACATTATTCTTATATCCTGCCACCATCTCCCCGAAGGGACTCGGGGCCTCTTACGGACGGCACAAAGTGGCTAAAAACAGACATAAAAGTGAACACAATACAAAATACAATAAAATGAAACACATACACATATAAAAACATAATTCAGACTCAATCAAACTGTAATTCTCTAATCGTGGTGGTAAATTACTAGCACCATGGCCAGGCTGTAAACACTGGAATAAAATAAGTGCCAGCTGTAGTAATGGAGAAGGTACAGGATAAAATGCAGGATGTGCGACTACTACTCATGACAACTAGGGGCTAAATATTCTCAAAGGCTTGATTTAAGTCCCTACAAAAGGAGGACAGTGTGGGGGCCGAAAAGCCGGCTTGTCTGTAGACACCTCCAAGGTCATGTGCTCAGCATGACTGCATGGAGTGCTGTTACCTTCCTGAAGAAACGGTACCTGTTTTCTAACGGCTAGGTTGGCAGAAGCTGGGGCTAACAGCAGGAGCTCACCCGCCAACCTTTCAGCAGCTCAGCGGTTTAACCCGTTGTGCCACCAGTGGGATTGTTACTCCTTTTTTAAGTTATAAACTCAGTTTAAAACAAGGAAATTAGGCTTTATTATGCCTTCCTGAACCAAAAATCCCACCTGGAATGAGCTGTAGAATTAGTTCTGCAGTACAATGGAAGTACTGACTCATTAATTTCAAGATATGAATTATTCTAATTCATAGGTAATTAACTTTGATATACACATTGTAATTCTATTTCTACAGTAGGTAATATTCAGAAATATTAATAATTTCAGGGAATATGTACATTATAGAGTAGGAATTTATTAGTTTATTACAATTTCCTTGTTGGTTGAGTACATTCATTACCTTTTGGGGTTGGCTTGGATTCACGTGTTCCCATGGTTCTGGGTTGCCAGTCTTGTTAAATCTGAAAATGAAATGTTTTATTGATTGTGAAAAACAAATATGACATCCTAGTTGGAGAGCAAGTTCAAGAGCAAGTCCAAAAAGGTCTGCTTTTTGTACTCCTGTAAGCAAGAATATGCACTTTTGTTCTGCAAAAATTAGACCTTAGATCCCAATCCTTAACACTTAGAAATAAGACCCAGTTATCTAAACCAAGCATGGGCAAACTTTCTAACTTGCAGGCTGCATGGTGGGCCAGAGCAGGGTGGGTTGGTCGGGAGAGAGGGGGTTCTCCCCAAGTCCCCTCCCTGCCTTTTCCTCCCCTTCCTTTTCTTTTTCGGAGGCAGAAAGTGAAGGAAAGACGGGAAACATTTGGATCCCAAAAGGGTTGGCCTTGGTTAGGATGAGATGGTGGATGGGAGATAAAAAGTATATCCATTAGACCCTGTATTGCCTATTCCTGATATAAAATCCTAGAATCCTAGAGCTGGAAGAGACCCCCAAGGGCCATCCAGTCCAACCCCTTGCCATGTAAGAAGGCACAATCAAAGACTCAGGATAGAGAGTCTCTGTGGAAAAGCCTTCAGAGAAGGAGACTCCACCACACTCTGAGTCAGCCTATGCCACTCTCCAGGAAGTTCTTCCTAATCTTTTCAGTCGAATCTCTTTCCCTGCCGTTTGAACCCATTGGTTCCTTGTGCCTTGGTCTCTAGAGCAGCAGAAAGTCACTTTCCCCCCCTTCTCCTCAATGGGACACCCTCTTAAATCTTGAAACATGGTTCTCATGTTCCCTCTCAATTGTCTCTTCTCTCAGCTAAACATCTCCCAGGAGGAAAGGAGGAAGGAAAAAGAGGAAGGGAAGGAGGGAAGGGAGGGAGGGAGGAGGAGGGAAGAGAAGGAGGAAGGAAGGAAAGAAAAAGGGAGGGAAGAAGGAAGGAAAGGAAGGAAGGAAGGAAGGAAGGAAGGAAGGAAGGGTGGAAGGGAATGGAGGGAAGGAGGGAGGGAAGGAGAGGGGAGGGAGAAGGAAGGAAGGAAAGAGAAAAGGGAAGAAAAGAAGGAGAAAGAGAGAGGAAAGGAGGAAGGAGGGAAGAAAGGGTGGAAGGGAAGGAAGGAGTGAGGGAGGGAGAAAGAAGGAAGGAAGAGTAGGAGAAAGGAGAGAAGGAAGGAGGGTAGGATGATGAGAAAGAGGAGGGCCTGAGCAAAGAGCCCAAGGGGCTGCATCCGCCCCCGCCCCCCAAGCCTGGGTTTGCGCATATCTGATCTAAACCAATCTTAATAATAATAATAATAATAATAATAATAATAATACATCTCATTTGCTGTGACATACTTTGCTTTTCTGTCAGTAAAATAATAATAATAATAATAATAATTTATTTATTTATTTATTTGACTAGTCATATCATCATCATCATCATCATTTAATAACTTATTAATTGACTGCTCATTGACCATTTCAAAATATAACACGAGTAAAAGACAAGGCAAAAAGGAGAGGACAGCAGCTGACCTTCTATTTACAGTCAGAATTTTATTTTTCCTGGTTCTTTCAGGAAATGTGCTTTTTTCTTGATAGCTTTCAGAATAAAAAGGCTTACTCTGATTATGGTGGATCTTTCCTGTCCTAACCCTAACCCTAAACCAATCTTAATTGCCATGAATGTTTTGGAAACATGCTTATACAGCCCGTAAAGCTCACAGCATCCCAGTGATTCCAGCCATGAAAGCCTTCGACAATACATTATTATTGTTATTATTATTCACATTCATGCAAACAAACACTATGCAAAAAATAAAACAATACAAAAGAGCAATTGTATAATTGTTAATATGTTAATAATATAATATAATATAACGTAATATAATATATTGTATATACATAAAAATGTCAGGAGAAAAATGCAATATAATGTAATGCAATATAATACTACTAATAATATGATATTATAATTATATATTTATATTACATGTAATATTACTAATAATATTACAATATAATGGTATAATATAATATAGTAATATTACTACTGATATTGTACTATGCTAATAATATAATATACCGTCATATATATATTGTAAGCCACTCTGAGTCCCCTTCAGGGTGAGAAGGGCGGCATATAAATGTCATAAATAAATAATAAATAAATATAAAACAACATAGAAGAGCAACCATATAAAACATTGTAAAAGTACGGCATATAAATACCGTAAATAAATAAATAAATCTTTATAAAACAATTGGGATATTGCCTATTACAATCCAATACCATTAAGATACAATGAAACCCCAAAGATACAATTCATTAGCTAAGAGCATCAACAGCAATATTGGCACCTATAAAGCTAACCAAAGAAAAAGCCTGCAGTCGATTTCAGATGGTTCCTTTTGGGAGGAAATGCTTACTTACATCACATCGCTTTTTCTCATGGCATTAAGGCTTGCCAGCGTTGCTCCCAATCCGGCAAGGGAGACAAATGCAATCAGAGGAATAAGCTGGAAACACACAAGGAAGGCGAGGCATTGGGGATCGATCCAGAAAGTGCATCAATAAAGCATTGAAAATTAACTCCATCCCTTTGAAAGATCTAAATGTGGAGATTGTTCCCAAAAGGCACCGATTTTACATTTATTTTGCTATAAAATGACCCTGTTGCGAAGTAATTTGGTACCGGGTTGTTGTTTGTTTTCCGGGCTGTCTGGCCATGTTCCAGAAGCATTCTCTCCTGATGTTTCGCCTGCATCTATGGCAGGCATCCTCTGAGGTTGTAAAGTCTGATTATTCTACTCCTAGCCAACAATGTGCTGCCACCTGTCACACCTATTCTTTGGATTTGGTACCTTTTGGAAACAAACTCCAGAATTTATTATTATTATTATTAGCTATATAAATAAAAATGTAATGTTCATTTGTGGGATTAACAGAACTCAAAAACCACTGGGGGAATTGACACCAAATTTGGACACAAGACACCTAACAACCCAATGTATGTCCTTCACTCATAAAAACACTGAAAAACACAGCAGAAGGGACTTAAAATGCCCCAAAAAGCTAAATGACAAAAAGCTAAATGACAATACAGAAAAAAGGGAAGAAAGAGGGAGGGAAGGGGAGAAAAAAAGAAAGAAAGAAAAGAAAAGAAAGAAAGAAGGAGGGAAAGGAAGAAGGAAAGGGAGAAGGAAGCATGGAAGCAAGAAGAGAAAGAGGGAGGGAAAGAAAGAAGGAAGGAATGAGGTAGAAAAGGAAGAAAGGAGAGAAAGAGGGAGGGAAAGAACAAGGGGGAGGAAGGAAAGTTAGAGGAATAGCATACGTACAGAAAACTGGACAGCAGGACGGAAAGATGTAGCGAAGAGGAAGGAGTGTACAGATGTCAAGAAAGAGGGAGGAATGAATGCAAAGACCGGAAAGACAAGAGATAGAAGCCATATGTACCTCATAAGATCAATAACCAGTGAAAGGAATTACACAGTATATCGACCTAAGTAGCTAATGCGATGACCAATCTTGGTCCTTCACTCATGTAACCGCGATTATTTAAGTGAAGGAAGGAGGGAAAGAAGGAGAGAAAGAGGGAAGGTTGGCCACAGCAAAGCGTGGCGGGTACAGCTAGTCTATATAAATAAAAATGTAATGTTTGTTTGTGGGATTAACATAACTCAAAAACTATTGGATGAATTGACATCAAATTTGGACACAAAACATCTATCAGGCCAACGAGTGACCATCACTCATCAAAACACTGAAAAGCACCGCGGAAGAGACTTAAAAAGCCCCCCCCCAATAAAAAATACATTACAACGCATGCGTGAAACCATATATTTATGTGTATACATAAATATATACACACATACATAGACACAAAACACATATACACAGACTGGGCAGGGGATGGCTAGTTAATAATAATAATAATAATAATAATAATAATAATAATAATCTTTATACCCAAAGGGGACTCGGGATGGCTAACATGAGGCCAAAGCCCAACAATTACAACAAGCAAATATACAACATAAAATACAGCAATAAAATAAAAAATGCTTGGTTGTTGTAGGTTTTTCCGGGCTATATGGCCATGTTCTGGAGGCAATTTTTCTCCTGATGTTTCGCCTGCATCTATGGCAAGCATCCTCAGAGGTAGTGAGGTCTGTTGGAACTAGGAAAATGGTTTATATATCTGTGGAATGACCAGGGTGGGACAAAGGACTCTTGTCTGCTGGAGCTAGGTGTGAATGTTTACATTATTCCTGCCCTATTTAGCAAAAGTCTGCCATGTACACATGCTTTGGCATGAAATCGGAACCAATCCCCTATGAGAACAATCAGGGACATCTAATCACCTCTCAACAAAAGATTGCTCCAGGCACTGCCAGGCCATCAAATGCTAATCAAGGTGGTCAGTTGAAACATTCACACCTAGCTCCAGCAGACAAGAGTCCTTTGTCCCACCCTGGTCATTCCACAGATATATAAACCCTTTTCCCTAGTTCCAACAGACCTCACTACCTCTGAGGATGCTTGCCATAGATGCAGGCAAAATGTCAGGAGAGAATGCCTCTAGAACATGGCCATATAGCCCGAAAAAACCTACAGCAATCCAGTGAAAGCCTTCAACAATACATTGAAAATAATACTATTTACTTATTTACGAGATTTATATGCCGCCCTTCTCACCCCAAAGGGGACTCTGAGCGGCTTACAAGTAATATGTAAATACAATATATTCTATTATTAGCATAGTACAATATCAGTATTAAATATTACTATAATGTACTATACCATTATATTGTAATATTATTAGTAATATTACATCTATATAAATAAAAATGTAATGTTCGTTTGTGGGATTAACATAACTCAAAAACCACTGAACGAATTGACACCAAATTTGGACACAAGGCACCTAACAACCCAATGTATGTCCTTCACTCAAAAAATTGATTTTGTCATTTGGGAGTTGTAGTTGCTGGGATTTATAGTTCACCTACAATCAAAGAGCATTCTGAACTCCACCAATGATGGAATTGAACCAAACTTGGCACACAGGACTCCCATGACCAACAGAAAAGGCTAGAAGGGTTTGGTGGGCATTGACCTTGAGTTTGGGAGTTGTAGTTCACCTACATCCAGAGACCACTGTGGACTCAAACAATGATGGATCTGGACCAAACTTGGCACAAATATTCCATATGCCCAAATATGTACACAGGTGGAGTTTGGGGGAAATAGACCTTGACATTTGGGAGTTGTAGTTACTGGGATTTATAGTTCACCTACAATCAAAGAGCATTCTGAACCCCACAAACGACAGAATTGGGGCAAATTTCCCACACAGAACCCCCATGACCAACAGAAAATACTTAAGGCCATCCAGTCCAACTCTCTTCACCAGGGCAAGAAAATGTAATCAAAGCCCTCCTGACAAAGAGCCATCCAGCAATAGATATAGATAGATATATATGATTCATACACATACAGATATAATATCATAGATTTGAAAGGGACCCCTAAGGAAGGACAATGATATGTTGCATATTCCAGCGTAGGCAAACCAGACACTCTCCACATCAACACTGACAAAGAAACAACAAGAAATACTGTTTACTCACAAGCAAAAAGGAATTACATATATTAGAAACCAATATTATTATTAAGTTCTTGTGGGTTTTTTTGGGCTATATGGCCATGTTCTAGAGGCATTTCTCCTGACGTTTCGCCTGCATCTATGGCAAGCATCCTCAGAGGTGAGGTCTGTTTGGTAACTGGGAAAAGGGTTTATATATCTGTGGAATGACCAGGGTGAGACAAAGGACTTTTGTCAGTTGTCTCACCCTGGTCATTCCACAGATATATAAACCCATTGTCCTAATTCCAACAGACCTCACTACCTCTGAGGATGCTTGCCATAGATGCAGGCGAAACGTCAGGAGAGAATGCTTCTAGAACATGGCCATATAGCCCGAAAAAACCCACAAGAACTTAGTGATTCCAGCCATGAAAGCCTTCGACATTACTTTATTTTCCAGATCACCAGACTGGGCCACAGCAACGCGTGGCAGGGGACAGCTAGTGTAATATAAATATATGAGATATAATACAGCAAAATAAAAATACAGAATTATTAATTATTTTTTTTAAAAAAGACATATATTTCTCTTTTTCCCAGGATCTGCAGGGAGGAAGAAGTGGACAGCTCCTTCCTGCAAATTATGGGATGCTCTGGGCACTGGGTATCAATGGCATGCCATGAAGTTTGTTCAAAGAGCCAAGCCTTACTTCTTTCTTCTTCATCATGAGCTGGAAGATCCCCATATTCCCCATGGTGAGCAGCAGGTGCAGACCTGGGAGAGAGAAAAACCAAGTCCCAAGGTTATGATCTTGGGTACCACTCTGGACAGGACCCCTCTATCCACCCACTCTGCGGTATTGGAGACCTCTATTGACATAACCCCCTCCCCACACTGGTAATAATATAACCCGCCCGACAACCTGTCCGCCTGGATCCGCATTAGAGTTCATCAAAGGCAATTTCCTCTTTTATACCCCGTTAACGCCCAAGGGCTGGATGTGTCCCAAGTCACGTAGTGCGGACGAGACCGCGGGCGCTGAAACCGCATCTGATGGAAAGGGACCCCCACAACCGCGGGACAAGGGCGCCCCTTGCTGGCGAAGGGAAGGACTGCAGTCTGACTCCTCTGGGAAGAGCAGGACTTCTTTTTACAGAAAACCCACACACAGAGACCACATCAGGAATATTGTGTCCAATTCTGGGCACCACAATTCAAGAGAGATATTGACAAGCTGGAATGTGTCCAGAGGAGGGCGACTAAAATGATGGGGTCTGGAGAACAAGCCCTATGAGGAGCGGCTTAAAGAGCTGGGCATGTTTAGCCTGAAGAAGAGATATGAGAGGAGATATGATGAGAGCCATGTATAAATATGTGAGAGGGAAACCCACAGTTCCTTCAAGACAGTTCTTCTGGAGACTAGGACGCAATGGAACAATGGCTTCAAACTACAAGAGAGGAGATTCCATCTGAACATGAGGAAGAACTTCCTGACTGTGAGAGCCGTTCAGCAGTGGAACTCTCTGCCCCGGAGTGTGGTGAGGCTCCTTCTTTGGAAGCTTTTAAACAGAGGCTGGATGGCCATCTGTCAGGGGTGATTTGAATGCAATATTCCTGCTTCTTGGCAGAATGTGGTTGGACTGGATGGCCCATGAGGTCTCTTCCAACTCTTTGATTCTATGATTCTCTACATAAAAACTCCAACCATCACCCAAGTCAAAAAAGAAGCACCATTAAAGCCTTGGCAGACCGTGCAAAAAGAATCTGCGAAGCCCACCTCCTCCAAGATGAACTGAACCACCTCAACTGGGCTCTCCAGGCCAATGGAGACTCCACCTCAGACATCAGAAGAGCTGCAAGACAACCGAGAAGAAGCCACGAGAGTAAAGATGAAGATCCACCCAGAGGAAAAGTGTTCTTGCCATACATCAAGGGAACCACTGACCGCATAGGGAAGCTGATGAGGAAACACAACATACAAACTATCTACAGACCCACCAAGAAAATCCAACAAATGCTACATTCAGCAAAGGTCAAGAGGGATCCTCTCACCTTTGTAGGAGTCTACCATATGCCATGCAGCTGTGGACAAGTCTACATAGGGACCACCAAATGCAGCATTGCCCAAACACAAATCAAGGAACATGAAAGGCACTGCAGACTAATTCAACCAGAGAAGTCAGCCATAGCAGAGCACCTGATGAACCAACCTGGACACAGCATATTATTTGAGAACACAGAAATGCTGGACCACCCTAACAACCACCATGTCAGACTACACAGAGAAGCCATTGAAATCCACAAGCATGTGGACAATTTCAACAGAAAGGAGGAAACCATGAAAATGAACAAAATCTGGATACGTGTGTGGGGGGGGGGGGGGCTGAGTCTGAGTGAAAGAGGGTCTACCCTAGCAAACCTTTTGTATCGTTACCCCAATACCCCCATGCATATGGGATATATTGAGCATGGTGATCAGATCATGATATGAATAAACATAACAGTTTAAATAATGTACCAGTAAGGCCTTCTCGCGGACCACCATGAGAATTTCGGGGGCGGGGGCTGAAGCCCCCCAAGCCCCTCCCCCCCGGCTACATGCCTGGCTACCAGTTTTAAAAAAAATCTCTAAAATTACAACAGCACAACAAAAGAGAGGAAACAAACAAGGACATCTAATCACCTCTCAACAAAAGTTTGCTCTAGGCAATGTCAGGCCATTATATGCTAATCAAGGTGGTCAGCTGAAACATTCACACCTAGCTCCAGCAGACAAGAGTCCTTTGTCCCACCCTGGTCTTTCCACAGATATATAAACCCCTTTTCCTAGTTCCAACAAACCTCACTACCTCTGAGGATGCTTGCCATAGATGCAGGTGAAACATCAGGAGAGAATGCCTCTAGACCATGGCCATATAGCCCGAAAAAACCTACAACAACCCAGGACTTCTTTATTTATCGTATCAGAAGCATGTATAAAATGTAAAAAAAATATATGTATAACATCACAAAGGACTACCACCTCATCCGCCTCATAGGAAACCTGCTACAAAACAGGAGCTTTTTTGTTGAGTTCCAGGGCCAGAGAAGCAGATGGCGGAAACAGAAGAATGGCCCCAAACCCACTAATGTTCGTGCCAAGTTTGGTCCAGATACATCATTGTTTGAGTTCACAGTGCTCTCTGGATGTTTGGTCCAAACAATGATGGATCTGGACCAAACTTGGCACGAATTCTCAATATGCCCAAATATAAACACTAGTAGGGTTTGGGGGAAATAGACCTTGACATTTGGGAGTTGTAGTTGCTGGGATTTATAGTTCACCTACAATCAAAGAGCATTCTGATCTCCACCTATGATGGAATCGAACTAAATTTGGCACACAGAATTCCCATGACCAACAGAAAATACTGGAAGAGTTTGGTGGGCATTGACCTTGAGTTTTGGAGTTGTAGTTCACCTAGATTCAGAGAGCACTGTGGACTCAAATAATAATTGATCTGGACCAAACTTGGCATGAATGCTCAATATGCCCAAATGTGAACAGTGGTGGAGTTTGGGAAAACAGACCTTGACATTTGGATGTTGTAGTTGCTGGGATTTATAGTTCCACCTCCAATCAAAGAGCATTCTGAACCCCACCAACGATGGAATTGGGCCAAAATTGGAACACAGAACTCCCATGACCAACAGAAAATACTACCAGGGTTGGTGGGCATTGACCTTGAGTTTTGGAGTTGTAGTTCACCTACATCCAGAGAGCACTGTGGACTCAAAGAATGATGGATCTGGACCAAACTTGGCATGAATGCTCAATATTCCTTAATGTGAACAATGGTGGAGTTTGGGGAAAATAGACCTTGACATTTGGGAGTTGTAGTTGCTGGGATTTATAGTTCACCTATAATCAAAGAGCATTCTGAACTCCACCTACGATGGAATTGAACCAAACTTTTCATACAGAGACCCCTATGCCCAACAGAAAATCCTGTGTTTTCTGATGGTCTTTGGCAACCCCTCTGACACCCCCCTCGTCACCCCTGGGTTGAGAAACACTGTTGTAGGGACTCAGGGTGGTTTACAAGAAATATCGGCAAACATGCAATGCCATTAAGTTCTAGGCAAAATAATAATAATAATAATAATAATAATAATAATAACACCAAAGCCACCCAAATCCCACAAACCAAATCGACATCTTCAAGAATAATACAAAATTGGGCGATGAAAACAAAACTACAAATTCACAGCTAACTTAAAAACAAAAACAAACAAGGAACAAACATAACAAGTTGAAAGTTATAAAATTAATTAAAATGTACGAGTTTAAAAGCCCGCAGAGATAAAATGACAGATTATTTCCCTTCCAGGGTGACTAACTATATGTGACTATGGAGGCAATCAGGAGTATCCCAAGCCTCAAATTTTGAATTTCTCATTCCTTTAAACCAATATATAACTGAGTTTAAAAATTAACTGCTTTGTTTGAGAGGCGGGGCTTCCTGGTTATCCTATATAAACCAGTGTCGCGCGCGCGCGCAAACTCGTACACTCAGTAACCTATACTTTCACCCCTGCATACAGACAACATCAAACACACACCAAGAGGAGGTCATTAGCAACCTCCAGATGGAACAAACACGAAAACTTCCCGTCTCATGCACAAGCTGTGGCATGTTCAGCTTTTTCACACTACAATTACTCAATTACATCTGCCCCAAGTGTAAACAGATCACTCGCATGGAACACAGGATCCGACAACTCGAGGACCGTATTAACACCCTTAAGGACATTCAGGAACTTGAGCTGTTCTTAGACACCACACACCACACTGTCCTAGACACGCAGCCCATATCACACCAACATTACGGGGAGGCTCAACAGAACAGCACCTCAGATGTGGACAACCCTCAGGCTTGGAGAAATGTCACCCTTAGAAGGACACATAGGACCCGGAAGCCTCCTCAGAATACTTCCGCTCAGCTGCAGTTACACAATAGATTCCAAATTCTCACACAACTAGCACCTGACCAAGAAACACAACATATTGGGGAAGACCAGAATGGCTTAGATACTGATCAGTGGCTCATCCTTGATCAGTGTGCGGGGGATAGCCCTGACTGGGACAACACTTCACAACATTCACACTTGCACAATCGTGCAGGTGTACCATCCCCAACCATAGACCAGGAGCAACAGGAACACATACAGGAGAACCATAGGCTCTTGGACGAATCTCAATGGATTGTCCTTGACGAATGCACCGGGGATGTCGAGGAGGAGGACAACACTTTTCACCTACACAATTCACACCAACAGGATCACTTTTCTGGAGACCTACACACTACATTGCACAAAAGGGGCCCTGTCATTCCTGAAAGTAAACAGGTCTTCTGGAGACCTACACACTACATTGCACAAAAGGGGCCCTGTCATTCCTGAAAGTAAACAGGTCTTGGTAGTAGGCGACTCCCTCCTTAGAGGAACGGAAGCTGTCATTTCCAGACCGGATGGGATGGCTCGAGAAATATGCTGCCTACCGGGGGCAAAAATACACCATATCACTCAGAGGCTCACCAGGCTCCTCAAGCCCTATCACCGTCCTCCCCTCATGTTGATTCATGTAGGAACCAATGATACTGCAAGGCATACGTTTCAAAAGATCACAAATGATTTTCGAGCTCTAGGAGCAAAGCTAAAAGAATGTAATGTACAGGTGGTCTTTTCATCTCTCCTCCCTGTTGTAAGACACGGACCCACAAGAGCCAGAAAAATAGTACAGGTCAATGACTGGCTTAGAAAATGGTGTCAGGAGGAACGCTTTGGCTTCCTCGACCATGGCCTGCTTTTCCAGGAGGATGGCCTACTGGCAAGGGATGGATGGGGTGCATCTCACACAAGTAGGAAAACACCTTTTTGCTCACAGACTCGCAAACCACATTAGACGCACTTTAAACTAGGTCCACCGGGGGAGGGGGACAACAGCCTTGCGAACACTACTTTACCCATAATGTCTGG